TGTAAAGAAGTGCTTCCTTAAGTCCAGTTTGAAATGTTCTCCCGCTAATTTCCACCTATGGCCACGAGTTAACTAATGCTGAAGTAACTATTCGGTTGAACAGCATCCAAACCTGTTAGAATCTTATAGACCTGGATCATGTCCCCCCTCAGTCTCCTTTGCTTGAGGCTGAACAGATTTAGCTCAAATAACCTTTCCTAATATGACATTCCCCTAAGACCAGGAATCATTCTTGTGGCCCTACGCTGCACCTTTTCTAAGACAAAGGCGCAGACGTCAGGGTATCGGGGAATACGGGGTTTAATTACAGGTAAGGCAGGCAAAACGCACACGGACAATACAATGACCAGACTGGGGAAACAAACTGAAACGTGGACGAAATACAGAGGGCTAATGAAAACAACTAGAAACAGCTGATCACACGGGGATTACACACGGAGTTAACGAGGGGGCGTGGCACACGGAAGGAGCGGACGGTCGGGGCAGGACACATTGTTTGGATACATTTATTTTCTTACTTTACAAATTACTGTTTTGATAAATGTGCTTAGCTGTGTTTAGTACAGTATATGCTCTTCTTGTTTTATCCGGTTCATTTTGTGTTTAAATGCTAAAAAAAAAACATATATAGGTGTAATATTTTGGGGCCGGGAACCAATTAATTGGTTTTCCATTGTTTCTTATGGGGAAAATTCAATCAGAACTCGAACTTTTTAGGATTCGATCCAGAGTTCTGAACAGATTAAGTTCGAGAACTGAGGTACCACTGTACTTGTATCTTTAAATGAGGAGAGGCAAAGTGAATACGGTGATTTTAAATTAGCTGCATCCACTCTGAGTCTAAAGTAAACGCGAAGGTAGCAAAACCTAGCTGAGATCATCAGTTTTCATTGACTAAAACTAGACTAAAATGCCACCAGTTTTTGTTGACTAAAACTAGACTAAAATAGTCATGGATAATTCTGACTAAAATATGACTAAAATGCTCAGACTTTTAGTTGACTGAAACTTGACTGGACTAAAATGAGTATGGATGTGACCAAGACTAATAAAAACGCATATTCATTCTGAAATATACACGACTGCGGGTAAAAACACATGTTCACTCTGAAATACTTGACTGCGGGTAAAAACACATATTCATTCTGAAATACACAACAGTTTATGCAGCAGTGAGGTATGTGCTCTCCATGAACTTTAAGTAAAAAAACTGTAATATGAGTATTTATCATTTTGCATTAATTCTTAACTTTCTTTGAAGCAATACTTAGTGAAAAAACACCATAATGCTTCACAAGCCTTAAAGGAATAAATAAGAATTTCCACAATCAACTCTTGCCTCCTATTCTGGATATTTAACAAGGCTCCACTTGGAACAGGCTTGGGACTCGTTCCCATGGTTAGCCGCTCTGCAAGCAGTAAGGTGGGAGTCTGCAGGATGTCACCTATTCGGGTTAATAGGAGCCGCATGGCACGGTATCGATGTCTTTTCCTCACCTCTGGACACTCATGTGGATTCCTCACAATGACACAATTTTCAGCCCAACCAACCAATGACAATGCTTTCTCCTCTGCTGCCTCTGTGTGCCTAGTACAGAAAGTTCCAGTACCCAAGGTACCAAACCAGCTGGAGTACTTTTTTGGTGCTTCAGTACTTTAGGGTGGGACTTTCTTTTTCAGTTGGTTATGCAAATAGCCTGCCTCTGAAACATAATACAAACGCTGCCTTGAAAACAATAATAAAACGTTTTAAAATAATGGCTGCGTGGACAAATGAAGAGACCCGATCGAAGCTTGGAAGAACAGATACAACAAGATCAGGATGGCATGAAAAGCAATAAAAAGTATTTTGTATAATAGACTAGGGCTGCACGATTTTGGAAATTTTTTAAATATCGCAATGCGATTTTGTTGTAATAAATTACTGTGGGATCTATAAAGCAAAAAATGAGTTCAAAATCATTAAATTTCTCAAAAACCTGTCGGAGTGATTTAAACAGCAAGAATGAAAATGATTTTGATTGTCTCAGAGAACACAAGAAGAGCTCATGCAAAAGCAACGGAGGTAAAGTTTAAACTGATTTTTTAAACATATGCTAGATAATCTTGAGAAGGAATAATCATTAAAATTGCAAAGCTTGCTAAGTTTTTTTTTCCTGTGACAGTAAAAATGTTTTAGTGAAACTTAAACTTGTGGTAATAATGGAGAGTATGGGCAGTCTGTTACAGAGCAGACTAAAATAGGTATACAGTATGAAGGTATGATAAACCCACCTGACTGTCACGGTCCTTGCGATGTGACAGATTCACGTGCATGACATGCAATGTTGGTATTAATATGGGACCCAGCCCTATAATACACTATAGCTATTTTTGTAATTCAGTACAAAATACCCATTGTGATGTCATTCAACATCGGTACCAGTTTTTATGCCAGTGAAAAACCAACACAAACAATTACCTTACTTTTCTGAAGTACCAAAAGAATGATACCCGGTGCGCTGGAACAGTGCCCAATATGAGCATTGCAGAGATCTCCGACTTGAGGAGAAATCACAGCACCCAGAGGAAGCCCATGCAACACGGCCAGGGCACACAAAGGCTACACACAGAGCAAATTCCTACCCCCGTCCCAGCAGGTACAGTACAAGGCAATAGCTATGCAATGAAGCATGAGGCCACATACATGCTGCTATTCATTGGCACATCAAACTCCATCTTCTGTGTGCTAGTCAGCGTGAACCTGCCCAATATGTGGCATGGCAGCTCCCCTCTGATCTGCACCCTGCCCGCTCAGCCCGTCCAGGAAGCTAATGAATGACTCACAGTCATGGCCTCAAGTGAACCATAATTTCCACTCTATCGATAAAAAAAGGCAAAAAAAACCTCTCATTCTTCCTGTGAATGTATCCCTTGTTTATCTAAAGAACTGGGTATAGTCAGATGAAGGACTGAGCGCGATGTCTGCCGATATAGAGGTGCCGTGTTTTTTTGCAGGTTTTGGGGGCGGGAGGTGAGTGTAAGGACACGGTCCGTTGCTGAGGTTTACTCCAGCAGTGCACTTCTGGCTTGGGGAGACTTTCTTTCCAATAAAGCATGTTACAGAAATAATTTGTTCACCTTCTGAGAAGATTGGTGTCTGGCATCAGAATCCTTTAACATCATTCCTGAGCTCTCTGCCGTCACTCATGCAAACCAAAGACAACTACAGCACAGGCTGCATTTTCATCTTGCCTTCTCATGACTTTTCATTACCATTTCTTTTTGAAGATGCATAAACAAGTCTTCACAGAAGTTATACTGCTCAGAAAACGGCTAAAGATTAACAAACCTGTGCTTGACAGGAGAATACACAAATCAATGATTTTCATGGATCAATGAGGTGTTGTTAAACACTGAAAGTAAAAAAACAGGTTTTATCAGAAACATTAGGGCCATATCTATGTGTTTTACTGGACTCTAATTCCTGTCTTTTTGTTTTACCTTAATCCTTGGATCTAAGCTTTGATCAAAGCTATTTGTTTTCATGTCACTCATTCCATTTGTACACTTTGAATGCTAAACTGTTTCTTTTTATTTTTTACCTTCCAGATTATTTTTTCTGAAGATTTTCCAAAAGGCACTTCATTGAATATTCTTTCATTTTTTATTAAAATAAGAAATAACATCGTAATTCTCAAAGTCTTGGATTAATTTTCCTTTGGCCGCCCTACTGATTTCAGTAGATGCCTGGCCAGGTACAATTTAGGCCAAAAACAATCACAGTGCCTCTCTGAAACACCCCAAGGCTCATATCCAAGAAGGAATCATTTAACCTTTCATACTACTAGATTTTTCCCCCTGATTCTTTTCTTTTCCACAAAAGTGCCAGACAAAGGTGCCTTAATCTGAAGGGAAATGAATCGCCTGACTGGCACAGGATCACTGGAAAAACCACATAAACACCAAATATGTAACAACCTACTTACAATGAGACAGGTTACCATAAATATGGCAATATTATGAGAACCACAAACACCAGGTTACCATAAATATGGCAATATTACGAGAACCACAAAGACAAGC